TCCTACTCATGAGGAGTACTGCTTTTGGCTGTTTAGGAGGGTCTACTTTGTTTTGCAGCAAACTGCATCTGCACCCTCTAACATCTGTGCTCCTTGGTTTCTTGGAAACTCTTCACAACCTGAGCAGGGAGGGCAGAGTATCTCTCCCTCAAGGAAGTAAGATTCTCCTGGTTTGTCTCAGGATTTCTTGGAGCAAGCACCTTATGGTTGACTTTCAGCTCCTGTTTCCAGAAAAGGATACAGAATGCAATTTAATTTCTTACCCACCAACTCTTAAATGCCTTATTCACCTTAACATTCCTTGGGGAATTTGGTTCTTCTGTGGCCTACCTTCCCCATTTTGAGATTGGGAAAGGAATAAAATAAATTTTAAAATATATAGCTTATGCCTGGTCAGGAAATGTCCACTAGCGTGGAAGTGCACTTAAGGTAAGAACAAAGAATGGACCCCATTCTGGCTCTTTGGGGCCTAATTTATTTGCTAATCAGCAAGGCATGTTATGCCATTAACCAGATGAGGAATAACTGCAGGGGAATAGATCGTTGGTTAGGCAAGAACTATAAATGAAACAAAACAAAACAGAAGTATTGCCTCAGTGTGATGAAACACACAGAGACAGAAAAATCAGTAAACAGACAGTGTTGCATTCTACATTTACAAAGAAAAAATCTCATATGGTTTTGCTTTAGTTAAGCCATTAGTTTTGCATTTTCCAGGCACGTTTACAATTTTTGAAGTGCATGATCATTTTGAAGACTTTCCTGGGACATATGCCTTTTATGAGCTTAGATGCATAATATTTTTCTTTAAATGATTCTCCATTTTTTTTTAAAAAAAGGATAACTTTATCTCTTTTTACTAAGCCATGAGTTTACTACAGGTTAAAATAGGCCAAAATAGTATCAAAAAAACTACAAAGATATCCTGGTAACATTTCATTTACATAAAAACATCACCAACATGTCAAAACAATGTTAACAGTTCTGTCTAGACCACACAAGTAAGAGGGAATTTGAGATCTGCACATAGCTAAAATACATTGTGCATAGTTTCCCTTATATGCTTTTTTCTAATCTTATGACCTTGGCTGATCTCAGAAGCTAAGCAGGATCAGATCTGGCTAATACTTGGATGTAGCCTACTAAGAAAATGCTTAAGGCTGTAAATTAAAGTGAGAGGTTGAAAAAAGCAAGAGAAAACTACTTCTAAACTGTTGTTTTAAAAAACCCTACATCATGGGAGTCTTTGCATTTAAGCTAATATTTGATTATTACTTTACGATCACTATTTAACAAATAATCATGGACAGATAAGCTGAGATAACATTGTCTTCTCTCAAATATTATTGGGTCAAACATTTTTTTTT